ATTGGTTATCTTTGGATTCAATTAGCAGTAGGAAAAATATGTAATAAGATATATCTGAAGAGATGTCCCTCATACAAGGTCATTGATTTCTTCAAGATATTTCTACTTTTATTTACATCCTGTGATTTATTGAAAATATGCAGCATCAGCTATGCTATTCTTATGAATTTCCTCTCTAAGGAGTAGTTTAATGTTATAAATGTGTTATGGTCCTCATATATCTTTAATATTACAAAAACCAATCAAGGAGTCTGGAAATATCAGATGCCCTCCTTTCTAGATAAGAGGTAAAAATGTCACACCAGTAAAGGAAAAGATACTTTGATGCTTCAGTTTTCTGTATTTCTCACAGCATCTTTCCTTTCCTTCTACTGAGGATTCTTACTCATAGATGCCAGTGAGGTAAATATAGAGATATGTAGATATCTCAAGGGGTGAACAAAATAAACAGTGAATGTTTAAATTTAAAAAATGTATTGCAGTAAAAGACACATTGACATTAATCCCCCTCAGAAGACTCCGCCTCACTCTGAAGACACTTATCCCATCCTTCTTATTCCTTTCTGAAGCAGTTTTGGAAGTTTTCTTTTGGTCTTTATGAGGTGTAATAAAAACTGCGTTGAATGCTGCTGCTGAGTTGCATCATAAAAACATTACAGTGTGTCCTCATCTACCTTATTCACCAGCATCATATTCTTCCCCAAAGTCAAAATGACCATGAAAGGGACATTTTTTGAGTGGATTCAGGACATAAAGTTGGCCACGACAGTGCGAAACTAAAGACATTCACGAAAGAGGACTTCCAGAGCTGCTTCACTGAGAAAGTGGCAAGAATGATGAGACAGGTGGGAAGTAGTTTGAGGGGGGTTAATGACAATGTGTCTTTGACTGTAATAAAATGTTTAGAATTTGAACATCTATCCTACCTTTTGATCACATCTTTCATATCTATATACACACAGTATGTACAGAAAACGTATATAACAGACACTTGATACTTGGGAGTCATCTTCATGAATACCCAAGTCTATGACTTCAGAAATCGTAGACATTTATAGTTTTCCCCTGAATCATCTTTTTGTTTGTTTGCTGTAGTTTTGTTCAAAAAATATTTGCTTCCTCTACATACAACCTTATGCCAAAAATCAGAAACATGTTCAACTTTCAGAAAGATTTTCAACTACTCAGACATTTTTTTAATCTGATGAGACTTCCCAGTCACTTTTTAAAAAGTCATTTTATGGAAATAAAGGCATTCATGATGATGAATGAAGAATAATAAAGGCCAAATGGAAGGCAAATGCTGGCAGTTTGGTGAGTGAGGGCCGTTTAAGCACCAGCAGGGAAGCACATCAGCCTGAGTTTGTATTTTGATTCCTGACCTTTGCAGAATCTCAAATTCCTGCATGGACAACCTTTAGGGTTGTCGGTCAAATCTGCAAATATTAAGTCATCCAATGCAGTTTTTTTTGGTACATGTTCTATGGCTGATGATATTTAAAAGCTCCTGTTTTCATCAGGTTCCTTTATCTCTCAAGGATAAGCAAGATAATTCACTTTACCAATCCAAATCTTAAATTACAAAGCTTATGGTAAAGTTCCCTACAGTCAAATTTTAGCACTGGCTCTGAATTCCCATTGCAAATTTACACTTGGTTTTCCAATTAAAACGGGCTTTTGTGAGTCCCCTGCCGATAGCCATTGGCTTGATCAAAAGTAACTTCATTTGTGGTAAGGGTGTTTAGGGAACCCAGCTCAAGGCTGACTCTTCTGCTATTGCCTTGAGCCCAGCTGTGCTGAAATATTAAACTTTAGTAAATTAAGTGAAATTGCAGCTTCCTGGCTGATACAATAATACCCCTTTTCTTTTCCTACAGACCAGACCATCTTTCTCCTGAGTTTTCTGTACAATCCTTCTGCACTGAGAGAAATACAATTCAGAATATCTTCCAAATCCAGATAGCTGTCCCATTTTTAACATAATTATGCCACACCTACTTATTTAACCGAGAGCCTAAACTTCCAAATATGTATAATTACATCACTATACGATGTAACCATATCTCAGTAGAGCATTACTGTATTACATCCTATGCAGATAAACAACTGAATCCCTGAAAACACAGTGCCTTATGTGGAAGTAGCAACCTTTTCTTTCTTGGTTAGTACATATTTCAGCAACAGTGGTGAGCTATACAAGGAAATCATGCTTTTAGTCACATTTATTTTCAGCTTCTTGCTCCTTTTTTCTCTTTAAGAATTTCATTACTTCCAAAGTGTTCTTATTCACTGATTCATTGATCAGCTGTATGTGTACAAACTTCTTTTTTTGATCAAATACTTTTAGAGTGCATGCAGAATTAGCAGAAAGGAACTAGGCAGTGTTATGTTCCTCTTCTGGAGATATGTTATTATTTCTCTTGTGACAAAATCACCGGGGACAGCGGTATGTAGCAGTATAGCCTACTTGCTCCCCTAAAGGCTGTCACATTCGTCCCTTTCAGGTTATGACTTTATTCCCCCCTAGGGGACTTTAGTTGGAATACAGATGTTTTGTGACTTAGGAAAGTAATGCATTAAAAGCTTTCTTAAGTTTAAACTATTTCGAATTACCTTTACTAAGGCATTCCCAAGACGGTAGACTCTAAGGATTGCTTTTGGGAAAATATCAAATCTATACAAAAGTAGAATGAATAGTCTAGTGATCCTCTTCCAGCCACTGTGAGGATCGTGGTGTACTGATACGAAGGATAAAATCTAGGAAGGTTGCTTGGTGGGGGATGAGCAGTCCTGGTGCTACTTGTGGACAGGGGGACTTAAGGCTGAAAAAGCTGAGTCCCATTTCTAAATAAATAATCTGAGAGCCAGAATAGATAACGTTGTCATTGTACCTCTTTTGTGATAAAGGGGATACTAAGCAATAACAGCACTCTGTATGATCTAAACCAGGAGTCTGTATTTTTCTTCCAGCTGTTATAACTAAAATACTATGACCTGGGCAGGTAAAACATTTACTTTTCAAAGTTGTGTAGGGTAAGTCTGAGGCCAGCATAGCCAGGTTCCAGGAAGGTCTACTTAGCAAACAGCTGCTCACTAACCAAACTCCTTCCTGTCTTAAAAGAGCACTAATCCCATCAGGGAGCATCCATCCTTATGACCCCATCATCTCCCAAGACATTATCTCCAAATGACATTACGTTGGAATTTCAACATAGGAATTTTGGAGGGATACAAACATTCAGAAAAACATTCACACGAATTAAATTTAGCAGAATTTACATGCAGCACTCAGAACCAGTGAGCAGCAACCTAGGGGAACAGTTGAATAGTAAAGAAACCACCTGATTGGCTACAGCTAGGTTCCTTCCTTCCTTATTTGAGCATGGTGCGATGAGGTGGCTATCTATGGTTGGCTGGCTGAAACCTGCTTGCCTATGATTGATTGGAACTCAGGTCTTCCTTACATATTTCTGTTAGGTTCTGGGTTTAAGTAGGAACTCAAATACAGAGTTAGCCTCAGGCTAATGTGCTCTTTAACCGCAGAGGTGAGTCAGTAAATACTTTAGGCCTTGATTCCTATAGGATCTGTCACCTCCCTACTCAGTTCTGGCCTTCTAATCCAAAAGCATCCAGAGGTCGCTCAGCCATACGCAGTCCCTGATGACTCAAAGTAGTGGACTTGAAGGTGTCCCAATAAAACAAGTCTAGGCACAGGGAGGGGGTGGAAGGGGGGAGGTTTGGCCACCCCTAAGGGTTTTCTGGTCCCAGGCCTCCAGGAATCTACCTTGAAGTAGAGGAACTCGTGGCCCCCCGGCAGTGCCATGACCCATGGAACCACCAAGTCCCCGGCCGTTCGCCGTGGGAGGATCCACCTGAGTGACTCCACAGTTTGCAAAGTTTTCCAAATGGGCCCTTTCTCCCCCTCCTCCAGCCGTCCTGGTCCTCACGCTCGGCCGCAGCGACGCTGAGCGAGCCGGGGTGCGATCGGGTGGGCTGCGTGGGGTCCCGAGGAGCCCCGCGCGGGGACTCGGGAGAAGGTGAGGGCTCCCAAAAGTTGGAGCCCAATCGGCACGGAGTTGAGCTCGCGCGCCCCAACCTTCAGGTGACCCCGCGCGGCGGCAGGCAGCGGCTGCAGCGACCAGAGCCCGCAGCGCTCGGAGCGCCTCCGGGAGGACAGGCGGCGAGCGCGGCGAATCGTCATCGCCAGCCCAGCGCCCGCCGAGCTCTAGCGCCCCGGGCCGGGAGGAGCAGCGAGGCTCCGCGCGCGCCCGTCCTCCCCGCGCCGCCGCCGTGAGCCCCGCGGGGTGCGTGGCCGCGGCCGCTGTGGTGGCGGCGGTGAGTCGGGGCCGCCCGGGCTGCGCTTCGCCCGGGCAGCGGCAGCAGCAGCGTTGGCGGCGACGGCGGCGCCCGCGGCTCAGGATGCGGCCGGGGGGCGCGCTGCTCGCCCTGCTCGCCAGCCTGGGGCTGCTCCTGCTGCTGCGCCTACTCTCCTGCCCCGCCGACGCGCCCGCGCGCGCCAGGTAACCCGGCCCTCGGGCGACCTCCGCGGCCCCGCGTGCGCCCCGCCGTGCGCCCCGGGGCCCCGCTAGCTCCTCGGGGCTCGGCCTGGCGCGCAGACTTTCCCCGGGGATCGGCAGAGGGGCAGCGGAAGCTGGAGGTGGGGCGGTTCGGGGGGTCGCGGGTGGGCGATCCTGGGCGCGGGGGGCGCGGCGCGGCGTGGAGGGGACTCACGAGGGGGGCTCGGGCTCGGGCGTGCTCGCCGTGGGAAAGGGAGCTGCTGAGCCGGACCCGCCGTCGGGTGTCAGGCTCCCGGGCTCTATTCGGGTCCTTGGTTCCCCTTCCTTCCCGCCCTAAGGCTGTCCAAGTCCGCGGGTGGGGTGCTGCCCCGGGAGTCGGGATGTGCAAAGATGCCCCGGCCAGGATCGCAGCGCGGCGTCCAGCCTGACAGCCAGCCGCTCCCCGCGAGGTGTAACAACTTAGTTTTCTCCCTGACCGTGCAGGCTCCAGGTGGAAGAAAGCAGGGCGGACACCCACGGCACCTCCACCGCGCAGAGGACGCTCCGGAGCCCGGCGACCCCACTTCCGCGCTCTGCGAACGGGTACGGAGGGGCGGGACCTGCCGGAGTTGCCGCCCTGGGGCCTCACGACTGAGTGTGCAAGCGTGTGTGTGTGTGCGTGCGTGTGTGTGTGTGTGTGTGTGTGCGCGCGCGAAGAAACTCTTCCTGCTCCCTGAAGCTGGCGTTTTTCGAAACCAGGGGAGATATTCAAACAGCCACGCTTGAAAAGTGGGCGCGGAGTGTGGAGACCCCCAGAGGAGCCGCTCAGCCCGTCTTCATTGAGGGCTTTGGTTGGTTGATTTTTCTTTTCTGTGCTTTAAAGTGCTCCAGGGTTAAGATCCAGGTTTGGAGGAACGGAATTCTTCCGTGTTCTAAGAATGGCTTTGTCCTTGGGGAATGAGGACTTATATTTTTTATGACTTTTTATCCCTATGCAACAATTATTTGGCTTTTATATTTTTTGCTGGTTATAGAGATAATACAACTTAGGGTAGAAAGTTAAGACAATATGGGAAGTATATAAAATGAAATAATATTCACTCAAAGTCCTGCCACTCAGATACCACATTCAGCTTGCTTTTGTTCTATTTTTGTCTAGTAATCTTTCCTATGTATGTACATTTAAAAATACAGTTCAGCTTTTACTTTGTGGTTTGCGCTCCACCTTTCCGCCTAAACAATCAGTCTTGTACATGCTGTTAAATTTTTCCCAAAACATTGCTTTTACCTATTAGATAATTCATCATATAAAGACCCCCTCCCTAATCTGTTTAACTGTTCTCATTTTTAGACACGTGTGTTGTTTCCTGTTTTTGTTTTGTTGTCAAAAATCCCATTAAGTCCCTGTTTGTATATAAATCTTTATCTTCACTTCATATTAATTCCACAGGATGCATTCATAAAAGTTGGATTATTAAGTCAGAGTATGTGCACGCAGGATTTTAAATCACATTTTCAATTGCTTCCTAGAAGGCTTGAATCAATTTACGCTTTTGCCAACAGAACTGCATAACTGCTCTGTGCCATAGCATTGCTATTATTATTGCTATCTTGTATTCTGTCTCTCGGTCTCTCTCTCTTTTAAAATCTCCTGTGTGTCCCTTTTCCTTTATTCGTCTTTATGTATATTCTTGGCACTTGGATCCACCTTAATCTTCTGATTGTGTGATCTGAAAGCCCCTCCCACGTGCATCTGGCCTGGCTCCAAGAAAGGTCTGAAAATATATAGAAGAATCCAAGAGGGAGGGACAATGTGACCTGCCACGGTCCCCTCGTTGGAATTTCATAGTATGTTAGAAGCACTGAGAAATAAATCCAGCAGCGAAAGCTTGTGAGAAAAACATTGGCCTATAGTTTTATTTTATGCCGGTCTGTACATGCAGGTGATCCAGCTTTCTCGGTCACCTGGGTGCATTCCATCTCTTCCCAAGTTGACTCTGTGACATCCTGCGGTTGTCCCTTCGGGAAAGTCTGAAAGCAGAAACTCATTAAATGATCTTGTCTTAGGTCTTTTTAAAAATGATTCTTTGATGAATTTTTCAGTTTCTTTTGGCATACCTGTTTTCCACTTGGCATACTTCTTGAACTAATATAGGTGATTCATATTTTTATTGAATGTGGTTTGTTCTATAAAGATTTTTTTCATTTCATACCATACTGCTGTGTTTGTAGAAACCTCTTTGTCATACAAGCCCTTTATCATTTATGATTTTGATTATTTATGTAGCAGAGGTACGGATTTTAAGTCTCGATACTACTTGGTTGTGTGGAGAAATTGCAGTTTCTTTTTTCTTTTTCCTTTTTCTTTCTGCAGTTTCTTAATTTTTCCGCAGCTGGTCTCATCTTTCTCTTAATGCTGGTAAGGGTAGCTCACTCTTAATGAACTCTTCTTATGGGCCAGACACTGTGCTTACAAAATGCTAAGAGAAACTGTTATCCTTATTTTATACACAAGAAAACTGCAGCATTGAGAGAGTAATTTCATTAGCCAAAGTCATAGGGTTAAGAAATTGTGCAGCCAGGCCACATGGATCCAGAATCCCACCCTTTTTTTTGTGCTCACACACAATTTTTACTTTAAAAACTATATTTAACCATTCAGATTGAGAAAAATACCACAGTGTTCTCATATACCCCCATCACTCACAGAGTTTCCCTATTAACATCCTACCTTATATGGTCCATTTGTCACAAGTGATGAACCAATATTGATGCATTATCATTAATTAAAGTCCATCATTTATGCAGATTTCCTTTTTTATAAAACCTAATGCCCCTTTTTCCCCAGGGAAAAATAAAACTATGTCATTTTTTTTTTGCTTAAATTCTTTTATTGGTGCATTGTAAGTATACAATACGTTTACATTTATCATTGGGTGCTTGTACCTGTACATGATGTATCTTGG